GGAAATCAAAATAAAAACAAATAACAAACCTTATTTTTTTAACTTACCTTTTTAATTCAGGTTCCAATGTCCGATTTTGGCATATAAACAAATGCCTAAATCCGGAAAGTGGTGAAACCGCAGCCAAAAATAGATGCGGTCTTCAAACGTAATATTGATAAACCATATTATTACTTACTGTACGCAAGAATTCCGTACGTTTCTAAATTTTTTATATTTGGATGGTCTTCAGGAAATAATTGCCGAATCTTGAAGAGAGCCAGTTGCATGGCTGGAAGTTAGATTATATTGTTAGTAGTTTTCATAATGACAAAATAAAAAGCTTTGATTTCACCTTACCTTTAAGGATCTTTTCGCGATCACCATTCATTTTTACATCATCGTGATAATATGCGTTCCCGACAACTTCCCCAAAAGCTACTTGAATTTCATTTTGGCTAACATTCATCAATAAGATCGCATCATGAAACCAACTACCGGCATTTGTATTACGTTTATCCAAACATCTTTTTATTTCCAACTGAAACTTTCGATCCGTATTCTCAACTTCACCTCTGATTGGAGATAAAAGTTTGGCGGGGTCAGTATTTTACAACTTGGGCGTTATGAGATGAACTTGTATTTTTTTTTTAAACCAGACAAGAATAAATTACTTACGTTTTCATACAGATTACTCCATTGACGTCCAAAAAAACTTCCTCCCACAGTCTATTTATGATCCGACTTCTATATGCGTATTCCGACGCGTTGGCATCTGTTAAAGGGTTTATTGGTGTTTGAAAACACATCAAGCTACCGATTATAGGTAATGTTATTACGTTGTTAATTACATAGAGGATAATTATTAGAATAATTATAAATTATGATCAGAGGTATTCTTACAAAGCTGTATACACTTGTTGAATCCATCTTAACATCCAATCTCTCGCAAATAAATAATCATTTTCGAACGGGGCTTGACCGATAGCAGACTCAACTTTGTTCAAATCAACGTAACATCCGGTAGTATGTTGTGAAATTACATTTTCATATCTCTTTAAAAGTGATTGGAGGTTACTCTCAATTGGTGAAAGGGAATTTACAATCTCCTCCTCAATCTAGAACATATAATTCATTGTTAGTAATTGAAATTAAAAGAAATTAAAATCAACAGGAAACATACCTTTCTCCATTTCGATTGCATTATTATCCATTCCTTATCAGTAACCAGCCGTTTAACTGGATCGTTGAGATGAAATTCAGGCAAAAATGTAATTCTGTATCTTGCAATTCCCTCTTTAAGTCTGAGAAGTCTCTCAATAGTCGGGTTCAAAGTCTGGTGCAATAAAAGATTTGTTATGATGAACAGCAATGAAGTGTAAAAGAACAAATATATCGAACCTCAACAGATAATTCTTGAAGGTAAGAATTTTCCACATCTTTTTCAAGATCTGACAGGTTTGCATTAGTTTCATCTTCATCTTGAAGAAGTTCATCCGGTGGCACCAAAGTGATGCCAGACAGTTCCTCATCATCCACATTATTAAATGATCGTTGCATTTTGAATTTCGCAAATATCGTTACGCGCATGGAAGTAATGTTCAATTTTGGTACGTTTTGTTTTCTGTTTATGATCACTCTAAGTATTAAAATTCAAGACAATAAATTTCTGCTAGCTTACAAGAACAAACGAAAAAAATACTACTACCTCAATTGAATCATCCAAATCTTGAGGAATATCCTATAGCACGAATACAAATTACGGAAAAAGTCAAACAAACTTTGTATCAAATAAGATAAAAACAAACAATTTAGGACTTACCGGAGAAGCTTGTATTGGGATTCTAGATACAGATGGTGGGGATTCCGCTGATTCCAAATCAGAATTAAGATGATATTCAACATCATGCTATTGTTAAAAAAATGTATATAGTTATTGTTATTTAGCATAAGTAGTTTTAATTAACTTACCAGCTGACGAAACATTCTACGGTCATGTTCAGTCTAGTTGAGAAAAGCGTAAGTTATAAGTTGTTCTCCAAACCAAATTCAAAATACGACTGCATGGTAAACTTACACGATCATTAAGCATAGTATTCGTATGTTTAGTCTAATTGAGAGAATGGCAAATGTTACAGATTTTTCCATGAGAAATTTCATACTGACCGACTACCATACTTACAAGAGCGCAAAATTGTCGAGTATAATTTTTCGTATGAATCACTTTCTGTTTTTGAGCTTTGTATATTTTTTTTCGGCATTTTTGAAAACTGAAAGAAATTATGAAATTAATGACAAACATAAAAAGTAAAGCAATTGTCCATAACATTTACCTATCAAAAGCACTTTTGGATTTTTCGGTTCCGGTCATTATAAATTATAACTTACTAGAGAACAGGAAGAACAGGAAAAGAAATATATGACCCTTTTAAGGCTTATAATAGGATTGTTCGCGTCGCGAAACCTATTTATACACCGATTTTTGTAGATCGGTTTGACTGACCGCTGATCGCATCAACAACCAATAAAACCAATAATAATCCAAGAGCGATCAATCTATAATTGAACGGGGTTAGTGATTCAGTTTTCGTGCAAAAATTTATGTCTCAATGAAGTCAAGAAACTTGCATCGTCGCTATGGTCTATGCTTCCATCAGAACTCACGTTGTGATGCTTGAATTGAAAGACTGGGTTAAGTCCCTAACCACTCCCCAAGTGATAATTTACAGGGGTGAGGGTTTCTTGACATCAAATTCGCCAAGAATCCAAAGGATTAAGATTCGCAGATTATAGCATCGTTTTAAGGTATGTATTTATACATGCGAAATCGATCAATTTTATTAATACAAAAATAAATTAAAATTACAGAATCAAACAATTAACGAAATGTATGATGCTATCAAAGAGGGAGGGAGTACGCGGATCCTAGGCCATTTAATGCGAGTCCCATCATCAAGTTATTTCTTTGCTCTCTTTATAACTAATTTGTTTCTGTTGCTAATATCGCTATCTATAAGTTTCTCATCTCTATACTCTTTTTCTACACTAGATTTTCGAAATAAATTATCCCACCATATTTACAGAATTTTTGTCTATCTATATCTCTCCCAAACACAGATTATGTAAAATAATAATTATCTTTAAAATATTTATTTATCATTTTTTATTTTTTTAATTATTAATCATTAAAAATTTTTAAAATAATATATTTCAGAATATATTTCATGAATATGAACTAGGATTTAAAATATTAATTAAAAAAAAAAAATAAAAAAAATATATAATAATTATAATTAGAAAAAAAATATTAAAAAATTGCTAAATTTAATATAAAAACATTAATTTTATAATAGATTTTTGAATTTCTTATCAAAATAATAGTTATATTAATATAATAATTTATGATTAGAGTAAAAAATGTAATTATATTAAAGTTCAGAATTTTAAAAGATCATAAATTTATTTATAAAGATAAGCATAAATAATCAGAAGTCATATTAAAAAAGAATAATTATTATATAATTTGTATAATTAAGTATAATTGCAAAAATAATATGTAAATACTAATTTTTAGCATATATACAATACAGTATTGTAATATATATAAGTAGTAAATAAAGATTAAATTCTTTTATAGATATTTTTAATTAGATTCTTAATAATAGTAAACTTAAAGATTTTTACTTATTTTAATTTAAAAGTTTTACTTAATAGCATCAAAAAATGAAATATTTATATTTAATAAATCTAATATTTTTATTTTAATATTTTACTATATAGTTTAATGCTAATTATTTTAATGATATCAAAATTAATTACATCAATTTGATATTTATTATAAATTATTAATAAAATAATTATTTATTAAAATACTATTTGTCTGTTAAAAATAATTTTAATTAGTAATTCATTTATTTATATTAATGTATATTTTACTATATTATTCAAATCATTTATTTGTATTATTAAGTAAATACCAAGATATATTTGTAAAACAAGAAGTAATATAATATTAAAGAATTTAATATAATTAAAAAAATAAAATAATAAATAATAAAAAATAATAAAATAAATTAAAATAATATAAAATATATAGTATAATTATTTTTTAAAAATTACTTGAATTAACTAATCTAAAGAATTTGAAAAAGTTTTATTATTCAAGTTATATTTATCATACAAATTATTAAATGATTTTAGAATAAATGTAATAAAAAAATTATATACAGTTACAATTAAAGATGGTATTATAATTAGTTACAACTAGTGACAAATAAATATCACAGGATTACAACTAGTTATAACATTAATAAAAATTGAGTTGTAACTAGTTGTAATTGGTAACAAATAAGTATCAGATAGTTGGAATTAATTGCAACGCCATTTTTAGTCACAATTATTATCTTTATATAATAAAGATCAGTATAAAGAATTCTATTAAATAAAGATTATTCTTTATATTTTTTATTAAAATATAAAATAACTAAAAAAAAATAACTTTATAATATAATTATTATATATAGTTAAAATATTGACATAATAATACTAATTACTTAGATTATTAATAGATATTAAAAAAGATAAGATTGATGATAAAAGTAATAAAATTATCTGAGAATGATAAGTCAGCAGAATATTAATATAATTAAATATATTTTATAAAAATAAAATCAAATATAAACATAAATTTTTCAATAGGTTTAGAAACTTGAAATATAAATAAAAATTATAATTAGATTAACAAAAAAAAAAATATTATTATTATAATAATTAATTTATTAAATCTAGTAACTTCATATATTATGTTTTAAAAAATTAGAATAATAATAGATATGATAATAAGAATCTAATAATTTTTAAACTCTAAATAAAAATAAAAATTAGTTTTAAAATAAATAGAATTATATTATAATAATATATTTATAGACAAATAAATTGAAGTATTAAGTTTGATCATAATAGAAATTATAGATATAAGAAAATTTTATTTTATTAAAAAGATCAAAAAGAGATTTTAGATAAAAATAAAAATTGAAAATAATTTTCTATTAATTATACTAATATTTATAAGAATAACAAATTTTAATTTAATAATATAATAATATAATTAATATTTTTATATTAATAATTAATAATAAAAGCAGTAAAGAATTAGAAATAGATGATAAATATCTAAAGAAATTACAAAATTACAAAATATATATTACATTATAATTAATAAAAAAGTATAATTGATTAATAAATACTTGTTCATATTAATATATAGTTATAATATGATTTTTTTAATGATAAAAATATACTATTCTATAAAAAATCTAATAATATAATATTATATAATACTTTCAGTAATATATAAACTAGATAACATTTAAAAACAAGTAAATATTTTGAAGAATAATAGATATTTAAAGATATATAATTAGATTATATAATAAATAATATTATATAAATAATTAAAAAATTATTATATGATTTGAAAAAATTTTGGCAGAACTAAATAAAAATAATTTTTAAATGTAATATATATTTTGCAAATATAGAATAATATTAATAAAGTTAATATAGATATATTTAGATTGTTAAACTGTTCTAATAGTTAAGATTCTTATTATATATATTAGTAGTTATAAAATAAGAAAGATTGATTTTAAATATAATAAAAGAATCAAAAAACATAACTGTTATTAACTAAAGTATATATATTATTTAATAGTGAATATATAGAACCTTTATAATAGAAAGAAGGAAACTGTAAAAAAAATAAATTTTACTTTTATTGCCAAATACAAATTTTAGATTAAAAAATATTCAAATTTAACATTATTTTATTTTTTTTTTATTTTAGTTATTTTTTTCTTTTCTATTGTAAAGATTTGGATATAAGCAGTGGGATACCACATGTAATATAAATTATATTACATGTGGTATCCCACTTAGCCTAGATTATAGTATTGCATATAATCTAAATATTACATATAATCTAAATATCGCATATGATCTAAATATCTCATATAATCTATATATCACATATAATCTGAATATCGCATATAATCTAACATTTTATTATTTCTTATATCACTTTTACATTCTAGCTATGTTTTTAAGTCTTTCTTAGTATCCGTATTTTTTATACTAATATATTTTATTACCATAATATAATCTAATTACCACACGCATATAATCTAAATACCATGCGTTTCTTCTTGTTTCTGAGTCATTTACATGCTAAATTTTATAATGGAGTTGTTGACCTTCTGTAGCTGTTTCGATATCTGGTTTTATGTTGAAAGTATTGGTTTCCTACACCTGATTGGGTGCTAGATTCTATGTTGGGGTACTTTCCCTTTACGTCTATTTGATTGCCTTTCTAGATGCTGAAATCGTATAAAAAAAGGTGACCCAACTATTACACCAGTATAAGTATGCCATTTTTGCATCCTGAAGTTCAAATTATTATCACATAATTCAATATATAATTTTACAAGATGTTGTTAGACCATTATTACAAAACGAGTAAGTATAATGTTTATCTTATTTATCTTATAAAGTATATTCATATTCTGTAAGTATTTCTATCATATTTCATCTTAATTGAATATAGAGTAAATATCGGGTATGGTAATATGTATGTGAGTATTACATGTAAAAAAATTCAATTTGCATAACTTTCAAGGAATCATGTCTGACCCATTTGATTACTGAGATAAAGTGGTTTTGAGGTATACAATTTGAAAGATCGAAGCTGATGCCTATTTGTTGCTAATATATATATGTAGATTTCATGTCTGATGTTGGAGATGTGATATGTATTATCATAATCGGCCTATTTATACCATCAAGATGTAACCTTTATGCCACACCTGAATATATACTAGTGTTAGGGTAGTCTTCTTCTATAATTTTATATAATATTTTCAAAGAAGCCTTCATATCATATCCGAGTACATATCTAGGAAGTATAAGTCTTACACGAAGGATATACCATACCTGAATACATACTATTGAGATGTAGCTTTTATGCTACACCTGAGTACATACTAGTGTTAGGGTAGTCTTCTTCCAATATTTATATAATAGAATACGGAGAAGACTACCCTGAATGACATACCCAGATTTATACTAGTATTAGGGTAGTCTTCTTCCAATATTTATATAATAGAATATGGAGAAGACTACCCTGAATGACATACCCATGTACATATCTAGAAAGATGAGGCCTTCTTCCAATATTTATATAATAGAATACGAAGAAGGATACCCTGGATAACATACCTGTGTACATATCTAGAAAGATGAAGCCTTCTTCTAATATTTATATAATAGAATACGAAGAAGGCTCCACATTTTGATGCATATCTACTTTATTACATT